TTCCTGGGTTCTGTTTTTATGCTGAAGAGCATGGTTTTCCTCTTCTCAACAAATGGCACCACCATGTCATCTACCCAGCTGCAGTGGCTAAGAACTTTGGAGTCATCCTTGATTCTTCTCTTTCTCTAATATTGCACACACAATCCATCAGCTAATGCTGTCAGCTACGTCTTCAAAATACATATGTCTAGATTCCACCCACTACTCCTCACCTCCACAACGACAAGCCTGGTCTGAGCTACTAACATCTGTCATCTGGGCCATTCCAGGAGCTTTCTAACAGGGTTCCCTGTTACCCTTTACCCTCCTATAGCCTGTTCTCCAGCCAGATGCCAGGGTGATCCTTTTAAATATGTCATATCAGCTCTGGCTAGGTAGCTCATTTGGTTAGAGCATCATCTGGTACACCAAAAGGTTGCGTGTTCAATTCCCCAGTCAGGGCACATGCCCAGGTTGCAGTTCAAACTCTGGTCGGGGCGTATAATGGAGGCAACCAATGTTTCTCTCTCCCTCCCTTCCTCTTTCTCTACAATCAATAAAAACATATCCTCGGGTGAAGATTTTTTGCAAGTTGCTTAAAAAATAAAATAAAATGTCATATCATTTCATTCCAGTGCTCAAAACTCTCTGATGGCATCTCATAACACTTGGAGTAAATCTTCAAGGTCTCACTGTGACTCCATCAGGGCCCTGTCACCCCCTAGCAACCTCCTGGGTCTCACTTGGTGCTACTCATTTGCTACCTCATTCCATCTCAGACATACTGTTCTTTTTGCTGATCCTTACACACACCAACAAGCTCCTGCCTTGGGACCTTTGCTCATGTTCTCACGTTCACTCAAGTCTCTGCTCAACTATCACTCCTCAAGAAGGCATTCCTTACAAATTGCTCCAAAGAAAATTAAATATGTATAAATCTAACAAAAATACGTACAGGATCTATATGATGCAAATTATTAAATACTGATGAGAGTAATAAAAATACAACCTAAATCCTTGGAGAGACACACTGTGTTCATGGATTGGAAGATTCTACGTAGTGAAGATGTCAGTTTCCCATAAAATTATTTCCCTAAACCTCTCAGTTTAACATAATTTCTAGCAAAACCTCAGGAAGTTTCTCTGTAGACATAGACAAATTTATTTATTTTAAAATTTATATAAGTGAAGGACACTAGAACAGCTAACATAATTTTTGGAAAAGAAGAAAATAGGAGAAATCACTTCTAAATATTAAGGCTTACTTTGTAGCTATAGTAATCAAGAAAGTGTGACGTTGGCAGAAGAGATACACACTGATCAATAGAACAGAATAGAAAACCTAGAACTATGACCACAAATATGCCTAATTAATTTTGGACAGAGTAAGCAAAGAAATTCAATAGAGAGATAGCCTTTTCTTTTTTAAAAACATTAAAAAAAAAATCCTCACCCAAAGACATGCTCATTGATTTTAGGGGGTGGGGGTTGAAGGGGAGAGAGAGAGAGACATTGATGAGAAACATTGAACTGTTGCCTCCCGTATGCATCTCGACCAGGGATTGAACCTGCAACTTTGGTATGTACCTTGACCAGAGATCGAACCCACAACGTTTTTGTGCATGGGACCATGCTCCAACTAACTCAGACACAACCCAGGGTGAGAGATAACCTTTCCAATAAATGATGTTGGAGCAATTAGACATCCATAAGCACGTGAAACTCAACTTACACTTCACACTTTATATGAAAACTAACTCAAAATGAACCATAGGATTTAATATAAACAAAGAACTATAAAACTTTTAGGAAAGAACATAGGAGAAAATTCTCAGGACTTATATGAGTAGATAAAGAGTTCTATACTTGTTCTTATACTTGACACCAAAAGAATGACCCATTACGAGGAAAATTTTATAAGTTAGAATCCATCAAAAATTTTAAAACTTTTTGCTCTGCAAAAGTCACTTGTAAGAGAATAAAAAGACAAATTACAGACTGGGAGAAAGTATTTGCAAAGCACATGTATGACAAAGATCTAGTATCTGGAACATACAAAGAACTTGCAAAACTTAGTGTTATGAAAACAAATAAAACAATTAGAAAATGGGCAAAAACATGCAGACACTACACCAAAGAGAATATATAGGTGGCAAATAAATACATGAAAAGATATTCAACATCATTAGTCATTAGAGAAATGCAAATTAAAGCACAATGAGATATTCCAACACAATTATCAAAATGGTTCAAATGAAAAACAATGATTAACACCTAATGTTGGCAAGGCTGGGGAGAAAAAAATCCCTCATATGTTGTTGGGGAATGTAAATGATACAACTACTCTGGAAAAGTTTGTCAGTTTCTGAAAAACAAAACAAAAGAAAAACAAAACCATACATACATTTACCATACAACCCAGCAATCACACTCCTGGGCATTTAGCCAAGAGAAATGAAGACTTCTTTTCATGCAGGAACTTGTACGCAAGTGTTCATAGCCGTTTCACGTGTCATATCTCAAAATTGGATACTAACCAAGTGTCTTTTCTTTGGTGAATGGTTAAGTAAACTGTGGTACATCCATACTATGGAGTGCTACTGAGAAATAAAAAGGAACAAACCATTAATTCATGTAACAACTTGGATGGGTCTCAAGGGAATTATGCTGAGTGAAAAAAAGTCGATTTTGAAAGGAGACTGATGCCTGATTCTACTGATGTAACATTTCTCATTTATGAAATAAACTAATTAAGAGATGGAGAAAAGATTGGTGGTTGCCAGGGGTTAGTGACGATGGGGAGAGGTAGGTGTGGCTATAAAGAGGTAACGTTGACATCTCTTGTGTGGATGGCACAGTTGAGAATTTTTTTGTCATAGCTTTATTGAGTATAATTCATAGATGCAGTTCAGTACCTTGACTGTAGTGATGGTTACACAAAGCTACATGTCTGATACAATTACATAGAACTGTGTTCACATACTCGAATGATTGCATTTATAACTGGTGATGTCAACTTGGTTTTGGCATTTTCCTATAACTGCATAAAATGTTAACATTGAGGAATATTAGGAAAGATGCATGGGGCTTCCCAGGATGTTTCTTTGCAACCTTCCGTGAGTATAAAATTATTCAAAATAAAAAATGTTTAAATTTAAGGCATTAAAAAAACGTTTTTTATCCAGAATAGCACCCCTTCTGCCACTCTCTACTCTCATTGCCTGCTTTATTTTTCTTCAAAGCCTATATCTCTGCCTGACATAATAATACATACAGTGCATAAGGTTTAACATATTTTGTATAAATCCGTCTCCTCCAGCACACTTAGAAAGCTGCTGTGTCCTCCACTGTATGCCCAATGCTAGAATGGCACCTTATTGAGAGAACGAACCTGTGAACCTGCCTCCCTGCAGGTGTACATTTTATTTATTGTGTATATACATAAATTGGCCTTTACAACTTCCTGCCAGAAACAAGGTATATCTACCCCAGACTCTCCATTCAGAAGAATTTCAATTGCATTTTTTTTAGGAAGAACATTTTAATACATGCAATTCTCTAGTGGGGAATAGGCATTTGATCCCATTCTGCTCATTCCTTCCTGGTTCCAATCAGGCCTTTTGGGAATATGTCCTCATTTAGTGTTTTTCTGGGATAAACCTTCAGCTATGAGAAGATAGCGAAATAAAGGTCCTTGAATCTAACAGAGTCGACCCTGTGTTCCTTTCAGAGGTCAAGGCTTCAGACTGAGGGGTTCAAACAGAATGAAACAATTTTATAAGAAAAAGAAACAGTACAAAGAAAGATTGTTAAACTCTCTGGCATCTATCTTATTACAAAGGGTCATAATATATTTTATTGCGCATCTGTGGAAGGCAAAATAATGGGTCCCAAAGATGTCCACATCCTAATCCCTGGAACCTGTGAATATAAGATCTCACATTGCAAAGAGGACTTTGCAGATCAATGTGACTAAGTTAGGGACCTTGAGAGGGGGAGAGTAGCCTGGATTATGCAGGTGGGCCCAATCTAATCACAGGAGTCCTTACAAAGGACAAACCTTTCCTGTCTGCAGAGAACCAGAGAGAGGGTGTTGTGAGAAGGACTTGATCCGCTGTTGCTGGCTTCAAAGACGGGAGAGGGCTTCAAGAAGCTAAAATATGCAAGGAAAGAGATTCTCCCCGGAACCTCCAGAAGGAATGCAGTCCTGCCAACACCTTGATTTTAGCCCAGTGAGCCCCATAGCGGACTTCTGAACTTACAGGACTGTACGATAGTAGATTTGTGTTGTCTTAAGCACTAAGTTTGTGGTGAGTTGTTAAGCAGCAATAGAAAACTAATAACGTACATTCCTCTGATTATAGTCTTTCTATTAGCTTTGCTTGTAAGCAACAGAAACCAAGGTGAGCTTCCTTAAGCAAACAATGCAAGCTTTTCTGCGAGCAGTGTCTCAGGAAGCCCGTCAGGATAGCCATGGTGCTGCAGAAAGGTTGTGGGACCGTAGTGAAAGCTGCCACCAGAAGTATCCCTCCTCTGTGCCCTTTATCTGCCTCCTCGCCCCCACTGCATTCCGTCCCATTCTCCCCTTTCTGCAAATAGACCTTCTCTGCTACTCAGTCCATAGGTGTGGGAAGGCCGAGCCGCAGCTTCCCCTTGCCTTCTCTTCCTTCACCAGACCAGTCAGGCCAGGCTGTGGCTAGAATCTCATTTTCAATTCTGAAGTCCCAGAGAAGGAACTATTTGAAGTTTGGGCTAGGTGCCCATTATGGGTTGAATTGTGTCCCCCCTCAAAAAGACATGTTGAAGCACTAATCCCTCCGTACCTCAGAGTGTGACCTTATTTGGAAATAGGGTCATTGTATGTAATTAGTTATGAGGTCATACTAGAGCAGAGAGGGGCCTTATTCCAATATGGTTTGTGTCCTTAGAAGAAGAAATTAGGACTCAGACATGTGAAAGTGAAGGCGGAGGTTGCCATAAACCAAGGAATGTCTGGGGCTACTAGAAACTGGAAGAGGAGGACTGCTTCTTGGCCTTTTGGCTAAGATCAAGCGTAGAATATGTTCGTATCAGTTTAATGTCTGATACGTTCTCTATCCGAGGACATTATATTACATGGATTTTTGGAGCTGGGAGATGGAATAGGAGCTTGCTCCATCCGCTTTGAGCATTGACCTGGTATTGCAGTACTTCTGGGAACAATGCACCAGGAAAACAAACAAACAAAACTGAAAGAGGTAAGGAAGAATTCTCTGCTACAGGCAGTAGAAGGAGCATGGCCCTACCAATACCTTAATTTTGGACTTCTGAGGCTCTGGAACTGGGAGGCAGTCATTTGTGACATTGAAGTACTTTGCTACAGTAACCCTGGGACACTCACATAGTGCTCAAGTCTGATCCAGTCAGCTACCTCTAGGAGACCATGGCTTGGGTACAAATGGCTCTTCAAGACTCACGCCTCTGGTTTGAGGAGTAGGGCACTAGTTTCCAAAAAAGGAAGAATCATTGTGAGCTGAGCAGATGCACTGAAAACTGTCCACTCTACAGCCAGGACAAATATGATATTCTGACTCACTTTTGTTTGTCTATTTTGCTTTAAAATATTTAACTGTTTTAGCCTCTGGAAAGCACTTTGGTGTACGAGGTGAAATATGAATCTAAGTTCTTTTCCGTAGCGTAATTGGCGTAATCCATTTGCCCTAACACCTTTATTAGTGACTGCCCTTTCTTCTCATCACTGTATTGCTTCTTGTTGCTTAGTCAATGTGCACTGATAACTGAAAATATTTCTGGAATCTCTATGCTGTTCCATTCATTTGACTGATTCACCAGATTCCTGGCATGGTTGTGAGAAGACCCTGGGGGCTTAACGTCCGAAGTGAGGACCGGAGCCTGGCTGCCCCGTGCTTTATTCCCTCCTCTGAGTGTTTTGTCTATTGATGGAACATCTAATTACTCACCTTATTTTTGGGGGTGAGGGCTTTCACAATGGTTCCTGACCATTTTAGATTAATGGATAAGGAGAATTCTCCTGGTGGAAGAAACTGTGCCCTTTCTGTGTCCCCTTTCTGAAACTAGTCCCTGATGCTGTTAATATATCTGGTCTTAGGGATGGGGACAAGTCAGAAAAACCAAAGACTCGCCTCTTAAACTCTGGAATAGATATGTATGCCTGGCACACAGGAAGCACGCAATAAATGTTAAGTAATTATTAGAACAAAGGCCAGACAACACTTCCCTTAAACTCTTGCTTGTTCTTATATCTCCCCCACCTTAAGCCATGCATGAGAGTGGGAAAAAGATGTGGTAGGCTCAATAATGGCCGCTCCAAAGTGGCCATGTCCTAATCCTTTGAACCTGTGTCTACATTACCTTGCAAGGTAAAAGGGACTTTACAGATGTGGTTAAAATGAGATTCTTAAAATGGGAAGATTATTCCAGATAGTCTGGATGGTGGGACCAGTATAATCACAACGGTCCTATAGGGGCACATGGGAGAGTCAAAGAGAAAAAGGAGATGCGACCACGGAAGTAGATGTTGGAGTGACGTGCTTTGAAAGATGGACAATGGGGCCAGGCGCCAAGGAACGCGTGGCCTCTAGAAGCTGAAAAATGGATCCTCTGGAGCCCTCAGAGGGAACTCAGCTCTGCTCATAACTTGCTTTGGTCCAGGAGGCCCAGTGTGAATTTCTGAGTTCCAGAATTGTCAGATAACAAATTGTGGTAATTTCTGTGGTAATTTTTTACAGCAGCAACAGAAAACAAACATAGAGGAAATGAGAATTTCATTGAATACTGCAAAACTGCCACTCCTGGACTCAAGTCCTTATTTAAATGGTAGTGTCTGAGGCGCACAGAAAATAGTGGTACCTTTCTTGTCACATCATCCCAGTGAAATTTTCATTATCCTTCAAGTCTTTTCTCTCCTTTTTTGCCCATCCAGCCTAATTCCCGCTGCCCCAACAATCTTCTTCCCTTCACCCACCTTTGAACCTAGATTTAATAGCTGTTCTAAGATACAGGTGTTGACCATACATGCTCGAAACTAGGGTTATTTGAAACATGGGCATTCAGGGAGCACATTAAATTGACACGTGAATATAACAATGAGAAAATCTTTTAAAAATTGGGGCATTTTGTTTTTCTCTTAGCATCAAGCCAAAAAGGAAGAAAGCTAGAGAGATACTGAGAACCAGAGACACAGAGAAACGAATCTAGTTAGAAACACTGAACCACACTACAAGCTTCTGAACATATGCTCCGGCTGTGTTAAGACCTGCGGCTTGGGCAGAAATTCCTGACCCTTTTGGCAAAGTCCAGAAGACTAGATACCAAGAGACAGTGGAGAACTGGTAAGGAAAAATGCAGCTTGGAGTTTAAGAAATCTGGATTTGAATCCTGGTTCTGTGGACCACCATTTCTGGTCTCTTCCTCTGAGAGGCCCTAAGGGTCACCTGTCAGGTGAGCTCCTCAAAAGCCGGCGAACCGCAAAGATGCATTCGCCCAACTCCTAACCCAAAACGCGGACTTCCCGCGTAACGACAAGACAAAGGATAAAATGCACTCTCTGGCACTAAGAAACCGTGCTGTTACACTCTTCTCTCCCAGGATAAAAGGCCCTTACTTTTAATTTTTTATTTGTGATGATTTTGTTTTTTCTTTCCGTTCTGTTACTAGCTGGAACTCAGTTTTGGCCGGGGCCCCAGGCGGCTGCTGGAAAGGCGCCCTCCCAGGAGCAGAAGGCTCGCTTAGGAGAAACTGGGGGCGGGGAGGGAACTCGCGTCCCTGCCTCCCCAGAGCGGTAGGGATTCTCTCGGATCCTTCCAGGGCCAGGCCAGACCCCCTCCTCTGAGCCCCTGGACAGCAGAGGACAGCGAAGAGACTTCGGGGTCTCGCTGCGCAGGGCGGGTGCGTAGCTCAACGCCCAGCTCCTGAGGGCAGGGGCGGCGGAGGAGCGGGTTCAGGCTGCCAGCGGGGGCGAGGACCACCCACGGCGCCGGTCGGGGCCCCGCCCCCTGCCGTCGCGGCCCCGCCTACCGTCGCGCCCCTGGGCCTCCCTGCTTGCAGTCCTCCCTCGCTCGCCCTTCTGGGTGTGAGGAAGCCCCACTCCCCGCTCGAAAGTTTTGCTGAATCCTTCCCAAAGCAAGATGGGCAGTGGTAGCCGGCTCCTTCAGATAAAGATGGAAAAGGCGTTTAGAGGGACAAGACTGGAAGTGAAGAGATGGCCTTTAGCCTCCTCATTCCTGTGTCCCCCTGAGAGTGTGCCAGACCCTGATTTCCAGACTTATCGTTACCTACTCCCATCCTAAAAGTTTCGGGTGGCACATTAATTTTAGTTTACTTCAGTTTGGAAAAAAATTAACATGAGCGTTGGGAATAAAAATGCATTCCCTGATCAGGATTGGGATTTTTCAGCCTAATATGGACGGAGCGCAGGTTGTGAAAGGGGAGTTGTGCATCTGATTGAAGGAGATGGGGCGGGAGGTACTAGGGCATTCAAGGGAGTCTCCAGTCCCCTCCAGGAGGGAGGGCCTACGGGCTAGGCCCTCTACCCCTCCCCTTCTAGTTGCCAGAATGGAAAATTCACGGAGTCCAGCTTAGCCCAGGTCAACAAACTTTTATTGCCATTTCTGGCTCCCCCTACCCCAGCAAGATCCCTGCTTTTTACACTGAAGAAATAGTGAGCTCTGGTGCAGGGGAATGGCGGGGGTGGGGGGGGGGGTGGGGGGGAGGGTTGGACGTTACTTCACCTCCTTTGCAGATGGCTAAGGTTAAAGAAATGCCACTTGCTGGAGAGGGAGGGCCAGATGCGAGGAATTCAAAAGTACTATGGCTCAGTACCACCTCTACTGGGTGCATAATACAGAGACCGTGGTCCCATACATTTTTCAAAGGGGGTGGGGGAGAGAGGGATGAATTTGGCTGCTCTTGTCCCCCTTGCTCTTGCTGTCACATTTCCATGGAAACAAGGGAAGGACAGGATGTACCTCACTCTGACTACCTTGGAGGATGGCAGGGCAGGCACTTCGTAAACATATCGCCTTCCATTGCTACCCAGCACATGCAACTGTCCCCAGCCGACCTCCAAGCTCACTGCCTGCTCCATTCCCTTCTCCTTCTGGAGCTCATATCATGCCAACTGGTCTCCAGGCAGGGCTTGTGGGTCCACTCTCCAGCCAGGTCTTGCTGGCAACAGCTGGAGTCTGAGTATGTCCGTCAAGCTTGTCCGTCAAGCTCAGAAGCAGCCTTAGTAGAGCTGTCAGTTACAGTGCCTCCATGAAAAGCAGCAGCTGAACCCCCATGACTCTGGCAACTGCTGTTCCCAAACATCTCTGCCCAGACAAAACTTAAACATAAACCCAAATAAGTAAGATTAAAAATAATACAAAATAACTCTTTAACAATGCTGAAGACTAGGAAGGGGAGAGGAGACCCACCCTCCGGAGACTTGAGCCACCTATGCCTTCTGCCTTCTGCCTGCCTGGAGCTTGCTGCTTCCCACTGGGCTGTTGTTGGGGATGGGGGGCTGGAATCCAAATCTCCATTGGGCGCTGAGGGATGTACCCACTGCTGTTGGTGATGAGGCTCGCCTGTTGCCATAGTGAAGAGGTGCAGGATGGAGTCTCAGTACCATGGGTCAGCCCGGTGCTGCTGGTTGTAGAGCTGTAGCTTGATCTGATCTTTGATCTGATTTATGAGGACCTGGGACAGCAGAATTCCCACCAGCTGGGGGAGGCAAGAAGGATGGGACCCTCAGCAATGAGTGATGCCTTTGCTTCCCCTGACTCAATCTTCCCAGTTTGGTCAGCACCATCTCATCCCTTGCTCCTCAGCAATGTCAGCGCCTGCCACCCCAGCTGATCCCCATCTGCCCTCCCCAAAACAAAGGAGCCTTTGCAGAATTGTGGGACACACAAGTCTTGCAGGGTAAGTTACCTGGGGGATGGCCAGACCCAGTGCCACACCACCAAGTAAGAAGAGGTTGCTATGTATCCAGTTGACCAATTTGTCAATACAGCCATTGGTGTAGATGACTTTACTAGCTTCCAAGTAGTCAAGGGCCTGCATACCTTGGCCACACATGGTGTTGATCACTGCCTGAGGAGAGAGTTGAAAAGCCAAATGGGACTCTCATTCCAATAACTTTTTCTTTCAGTCCTTAGCTGATGGGATTCCCACACTTCCTAAACTCCTAAATCATTAGAGAATACA